CAGGAGGTCATGAGGCGGTGCATCACCTGTACTATAAACTACAGCGGTAGCCGGAATGTACGAGTTCGCATAGTACAGCACTACCAAGCCTTAGCCTAGTCCACATATTCCAGCATGTTCAATCAGGCTCAACCCCATTGACGCGCTAAGCGAGCTCAGCAGTCTCGTAAAGATATCCTAGCTACACTGCTGTCGACCTGCCTAATTCGCGTCCTCTTCTCACGTGAGGCCACTGACCATTTCAATATACCCCAGCATGGACTGTGTAGTGACCCGGGTTGCTCGCTCGCGCTACAGGGATATCTATTCATCGACGCCCACGGCAGCCACCATCTCGCGCACATACTCCTGCTGTCTACACTGCCTCTGCCCATCCCGACCCGTTTCTCGCCACACGCACCTATAGGGCCACGACCAGCCCTAGATACTCCGGTAAGCACTGTGTCATCACCAGTTAGCTCGCGCGGGCGAGGCCGGCGCATATACTCCTGCTACACAGACAACTACACCGGCATCATCGCGCACATACTCCTGCTCTGTCTACACAGCCTCTGCCCATCCCGACCCGTTTCTCGCCACGCGCACCTATAGGGCCACGACCAGCCCTAGATACTCCGGTAAGTACTGTGTCATCACCAGTTGGCTCGCGCGGGCGCAGGCCGGCGCATATACTCCTGCTACACAGACAACTACACCGGCATCATCGCGCACATACTCCTGCTCTGTCTACACTGCCTCTGCCTATCCCGATCCGTTTCTCGCCACGCGCACCTATAGGACCACGACCAGCCCTATATACTCTGGTAAGGACTGCGTCATCATAGGATGGTTGGCTCGCGTGGGCGCGGGCGCTGGCACCTGGCACATATACTCCTGCTACACGGACAACTACACCGGCATTATCGCGCACGTACTCCTGCTTTGTCTACACAGCCTCTGCCCATCCCGATCCGTTTCTCGCCACGCGCACCTATAGGACCACGACCAGCCCTATATACTCCGGTAAGGACTGCGTCATCACCGATATTGTTGGCGCGCACATATTCCTGCTCTGTCTACA